AGAGGCACTGTGAGAGTAAAGTGTCTTGCCCAAGAACACAACACAATGTCCCCGGCCAGGGCTCGAACCCGGACCGCTCGATCCGGAGACGAGCTGAGGCCACCGCGCCTTCCACACAACAGTTGTAACAAATATGGGAAAATAAGTAGTTTTGGATTTGCAATCAGGCAACGAATAGCAATCCAGAAAAACAGGCACGTATTGTGTGCAGAATACAAGCCAGACGATTATGGTCACATGCCTGTGTTGCGATGAATTAGCCATGTCGGGTGCTGGAGATGGCAGCTGGGCTATGAAATTAGAAACCAAATGCACATCACTCTCTACTTCACTGGTCAGCGGTGACGTGGGTTCACTGCTTGTGCGCACGCCGCTGTCCCTGTCATCACTGGACTGCAGTCCCTGGTCTCCATCACTCATAACCTGGGGGCTGGACCTGACAACCATCTGTCTCAGGTAACGTAGAGAGGTGCGGAACTTTCGTGGTGTGTTGATACCTGTCAGTGACGGTCGAAGAAAAGTACTTGAGACAACTTGGCAAGCTTTTGAGCTTTCAATATTTGCTGCTGATATTTTTAGCTGCTTTCTTTCTGCATGCAGATGTCGGCCATAACTCTCTGAACTTTCATGACTTTCTTTGTATGAGTAGCTAAGCTCGGCTAGCCATGCAAGTGATTTCGATGCCGCACCAGAAATTAACGATTCCAGGAGCCCATGACCCATGGGCTCCTAACGATTCGTGTTCCAACAAACACGTAATGCGCAAACAGAAAGCGCCTCTTCATATGAGCCCGGTAACCAGTTCCTATCGTAAATTTCAGCCCGGTCGACCGGGATGAAATTCAAGAAACAAAACCGAAATGGTGAAAATGCCGACCGAAAGGGTCGCGTCTAAATAATAAAAAGGAAAATTAAAGGGTGGTTCGAAGATATGAATTTTACTTTTTCGTGTCCAAAACATCGCCAATTAATGCGTATGTGTGTAAATCACTTCAAGTCCAAGCCAAGCATTGATGACTAAGGCCCCGACCGCACTTTAGTATCCGTTTTCGTCTCAACCAAAACGAAGCAAAACATTTTCGCCCACACTAGCGTTTCGTTTTGTTTTCACCTGTCCACATTCATAAGTTTTCAATCGAAAACGCATACTTTTTGATACGCTTTCGCCTATCGTCCACACTAAAAAACCGCCGAAAACGCTGATGAAGCGACAGAATATGACGTTTTTTTCGTCACCGTTTTCCAATGCCTCCGTTTTCACCTATCCAGACTTGAAACGGAGCGTTTTCAAAACGATGCATTTGCAAGACTCCACTTTTAAACCGTTTTGGAAAGTCCCTATTTTCATCAGCGTTTTCGGGCATTTTAGTCTGGAGGACAGGCAAAAACGCATAAAAAAGTACGCGTTTTCAAACGAAAGAAGTTACATTTGTTATCAGAAGATCTCACCATGTGCCACTGGATCATTTATTCTTCCAGCAAGAAAAGAACGCATCACATCGACACATTCATGTTCGTTCTCGAGACTGCTCTCGTCATCCGACCGCAATGTGACTGAATCGTGCTGACAAGTAGCCCAACACAACAAAAACTGTTAGTACAGCTTTAGCCGCTGCGAGGCTACCTTTAATTGCTCATCCTTTCCGCTTGAATAGTGGCACTAGCTTGAATGTCAGTATTTAATGGCAATGGCCCATTGAGGGTACAGTGAGGGTACAGTGGAACTCCGCCTTGCAATAATACGACCATCTCAATATTACTGCCACTTTTTTGGCCTTGAAAAAACGCTTAGTCAGTTATTTTCCTATTTTAAGAAGCCCTTTTAAACGGCTACCTCTAAAATACGCGCTCCACCTCGCGGCTACCTCTCAAACGCGTTCCACGTTAATGAGTCTTCCAGTGGAGAGGGTTGTAGCATGTTCCCTTGATGATGATTCCTTGAAAATTTCACTTTAATCCAAAAATATCCCTTGTTCCCTTAAAATAAATGATCACGTTCCTTTGTTCCCCAAAATCCCTGGGAGGCCCCCAGAACCCCTGGGAGACCCTCATAACTTAGTTCTTTGGCCTCGATATTTTGCAGTGCTTTTGTACATCAAAGCTACTTTTTGTATAGAGCAATAATAGGGATCAGAAAAAGGTCGACAGAACATCTAGTAAACTCAGCACAGACAAGGCTGCACATTACCAACTATGTCGCATCTAACTTGAGTGCTATGAAATGTACCTTGTAATTGGCTAGCTCCAGGTGGAGCTTTGCCAACCTTCTCTGAAGACGTCTTATAACAATGTTCTTGTCAACCTCTTCATTCCGTCTGAAATTAAAAGGACTGCAACATTTAGTTTTAGTTATCAGTCGTATTTGGGTGCTACAGGTACATAAACGATGAATGCTGTAAAGACACAGCTTTGTATCCCTAGGCGCATCTTAAAAGCCATATGCTTGTTAGGACTTTCACCACTACCATTTGAAGCATTAGAAAAATCACACACGGCATTGGACTAATGTAAAACCATAGATAACTAGATAACATTCTTGCTTAACACCACACATGCATGCTTGGAAGAGTATACAATCCGTTAGCAAACATGACAAGTGCAATTTTTTTCTATCCATTAACCTCAGGCTTTAGATTCAATTAAAAACCTGAGGAAACCTGACAGAAGTGTTTCGTTAAACTGGAAAATAACTCGAAACCTTCATCCGAGATTAAGGTCAGATTATGTAATACATAAATTTCAAATTGTTCCTTGAATTCTGACTTACATGGGTTTGTTCAGGATTCGCGCTACTCTTTGAGCAAATCTGCAGGTCGAAATGGTTTCAGACACATTCTTCTCCTCAGCAGACAAAGCTGCAATCATAGCAGTGTTGCAATTCCCACCTGCGGTTTTAAGAGAATATAAGATAGTTAGAATTAAAAGGACAACGGTGTATCAAGGAGTATGCACTAATTCTTAAGACAGTTTGATAAGTCAGTTGTTTGAAGGCTCTACTTGTTTCATGCAAGGCGGTGCCTATTCAAAAGTCATTACAAGCTATTTTAAGCAAGACATCAACTATTATTTCATCCAAAAACGGCAGCAAACACAACCAAAACTCCGTTTAGAGTGTCAGTATCACCTTTTTTTACCATATCAGAGTCAAGGAGATGCAGATGGACCTCTTCAAATAAACACCACTTTAAATCATGGCGTTTTGAATATGTAAGCACAATGTTGCTGTCCTAGGCGCGGCACATATTCCATGGATGTTCTTATTGACATTTTCCTATCACTTGCAGGGACTGCATAGGACGAGGGGCTGGTGTGGCTAAACCCTACCACTTCTTTGCTTGGGCTGATTTTTTAGGGCTCCAAATGGCACGCAAATACATGATAA